AGCAAATAACATCTCCTCCGGGTGTCAGGAAAGGTGTGAAAAATATGTAGGAAGAAGCAAGAGTGGGTAGAGAAGTGTCCCTGTATGTGAAGTCAGGGTCTCAGAAGGAGAGAAACAATGTCTGAGGGGGTAAAGAAACCAGACCACATTCTCCTAGAATAGAGAAGGAATTGAGAATTCAGGTTGAGAGAACTTTTAATACCAAGGGAATATAACTGAACAAGCGTGCATGTAAGCAGTTATATCAATACCTTTAGAATATATTAAAAAGGCAAAGTGAAAAAAATTAGCCAGGTGCGGTGGGGCATACCTGTAGTTCCAGCTACTCAGGAGGCTGAACGTGGAGGGTACCTGAGCCCAGGAATTCAAGACTGCTGTGAGCCATGATCACACCACTGCACTCCAGCCTGGGTGACAAAGCAAGACCCTATTGCTAATAAAAAAAAATTTCAAGTAAAGTATATATGATGGTAGGTAAAACTTCAGACCTGTAATAATTAGTCTAACAATGAACATGTGAGACATTCATGAAGAACACTTAAAAACTATTTTTAAGCCAGGCTCGGTGGCTCAGCCTGTAATCCCACGCCTTTGGGAGGCTGAGGTGAGGGGATTGCCTGACCCGCGGGTTCGAGACCTGCCTAGGCAGGTGAGACCTCATCTCTACAATAAATCAAAAAATCAGCTGGGCGTGGTAGCGCATGCCTGTAATTCCGGCTACTTGGAAGGCTGAGGCGGAAGGATCGCCGGAGCCCAGCAGGTCGAGGCTGCGGTGGCCAGGAGCATGCCACTGCACTCCAGTCTGGGCGACAGAGTGAGACTCCAACTCAAAAAAAAAACAAACTCTATTTTTAGGGCCAGAAAGGAAGATATTTTGCTTTATTCGAAATGGAGAGAGGTGCCATGCTCATGGATGAAACAGCTTTACATTGTAAAGATATCTTCTCTTTTTTTTTGAGTGGGAGTCTTACTCTGTCACCCAGGCTGGAGTGCAGTGGCATGCTCATGGCCATGCCAGCGTCGGCCTGCTGGGCTCTGGTGATCCTTCTGCCTCAGCCTTCCAAGTAGCCAGAACCACAGGCATGTGCTACCATGCCTGGCTAATTTTTAAAAATATTACAGAGATGAGGTCTCACCAAGTTGCCCGGGCTGGTCTCAAACCCGTGGGCTCAGGCAGTCCACTCACCTCAGCCCAAAGAGCTGGAATTACAGGCTGAACCACCAACCCTGGCCATGATTTCTTTTTGAATTAATCTATGAATTTGGTGTGGTTTGAGTTAAATTCCAATAGGATATTTTTGAGGCAATGGATAGGCTTATTTTAATATTTATAAGGAAAATTATTAATAATGTGACTGAAAAGAACAGCATAACTGGGTGTGGAGGGTGGGAGAAATGACACTTGCCTTATCTTAAATGGAGACATTTCAAAGGCACAGTAATAGCCAAATAGAAGAATGACACAGGAACAGGCGAAGAACCCTATGAAACAGAAGGGCGACCCTGTAGCTTCTGACAGAAATGGCAAACTAGTATAAGATAAATAGGATACCACATATCAGTGGGGAAAGGATAGTTTGTTAGATAGGTGGTACTGGGAAAACCGGCCTATTTCACTGGGGGGAAAAATAGGCTAAGATTCATACTTTATAGCACACAAACTTCGGTCAATCTTGGTGACTAAGGTAATCATAAAAACCTAAGAAGCATTAGCCACAAAAGGAAGTATTAATGGATTTTGCTGTCAAAATTAAGAATTTATTTTCAATGGAGGACTCTATATTCAGAGTTAACAGATGAGAAGAAGAGAGTTTTAAAACATTTTATTTATTTATTCCCTGTACTGATAAGAGATTAGTAGCTAAAATATGTAAATAATTTTATTAAATCAACAGAAAAAGACAGGGAAGCCAATAGAAGAGGGACAACAAACAGCCAGTTTGCACAAGGGAAAAAGTTTGGTGGTAACAAGTATGTGAAGTTTGACTCTAAGAAGGAATGGAAATTGACAGAGTGATGGGCAAAAGTTTGTGATCTAACAGTCGTATTCCTGGGTGTACTCAACAGAAGAACATGTGCACATGTCTGTCCATGAGGCAACTGTGTCTTAGGATGTTACTTATAGGATTGTTTTATGGGTTTGGGGCTCGTTAAAGGAATGGCTAAATAAAATGTAGCCATCTTGCACTAGGGAATACTATGCAACAGTCAGTACTAAATGACTTTTAAAAAGTATTGGTTGAAAAATGAGCTAATCTGTAGTCCAATACCATTTGTAAATTACACTGCCTCACTGGGTTTTTCTGCAATACTAACACAGCTGTGGTGGGTACCTAGGGTGGAAGTTGTAATGGAAGTGGAGCCAGGGATAAAAGAAATCTAGACTCATGATGGTGCATCTTGAGCTGGACTTGGGTCAACTCTACCTGAGATCAAAAGGGTGAGGAAAAATAACAGCAAGGAAGCAATCATTGGATTTGATGGGTGACTTTGGAGGAATAGTAGTTAAGTCAGAAGCCAGGGGTAAAAGAAGTGAGTGGAAAATGAATTTTTTAAAAATGAACACGTTGACAGGGAGTGGGAAAAAAGAGGGTACTAGTTGTATGGTGATTTGGAGACAAGAAAGGGCTTTGTCTACTTGTGGGTTTTTGTAGAGCTAGCTCAATGTGTATGCTGTCGGGAAGGAGCAATGGGTAGGATGACATTGATGAAAGAAAACGGGTGACTCTAGGAGGTTAAGTCCTCAAGAGGAGCAGAGGGGTCCAGAACACGGTTCAATGGGTTTCCCTTACCTTTTGTAATGAAAGGATTGACAGGACGTGGATACGAATGTCATTGCTTTGCCTGTTTTGGGGCTTGTAGTTGGTTCTGTCCAGTGTAAGGCAAGGGTAACCTTGGTCACTGGGGGATGTTGCTGCAGGCTCTCCTTTTTCCCAGTGAAACAGCTGTTGTTTTAATAAAGTAATTTTTTTCCTTAAGATAATTTCCCTGGAGCATAAGAAAATCTCATTATAACCATTATAATGTAGAAATATTTTTATGAAAACATTAAAATATTTGATCTGAAAAATGTTAAATTACCAAATTATTAGTAAACATTCTGTTTTGTGGAATAATCTAGTCTCCAGAGTTATTGGGAAAGAAGAGGACTCAGACCTCCTTTGAGGATGAAGGCTAACTAAATATTACTCTTTCTTGTCTGCAATGGAAAGAAAAGGAACATGGTATGCTTTTTTAAAGTTATACTGCTTTCTTAGATTGTCACAGCATTACCACTGACTTTTACTATTTGATCTTTAATATAACCACTGAATGTTAGTTTCTGTTCAGTTTATCCTGAATGTTTCAGGGAGCTTGTTTTCTCACCATCTGCCTAATTTTTTTATCCTGTGAACCTAGTTGATTACTGTTTACCCCAATCATGCTTTGGTGGACCACAGACATTCATTTGTTTGTACTTTTAACTGTTATTTTATTTAGTGTGAAAATACTAGCTTCTGCCATCCATGATTTTTTTTAATTTCCCAGGTCTAAATGGGTTATGAAACAAACCTGTAACTGCATCAAGTATACAAGCCAACGAATTACAGAGTATACTGAGTGTATCTATTGGATTTTGTAACATCTCCAGATGTTCAACAGTCATTAGGAGAACATCGTAGCTTGCCCATAAGAGAGACACTTGATCTCTGGCTCCTGGGACTGCTATAGAAATGAATGACCACTGTAGAACATATCCACAGACCGAAAACAATCCCTGTATCTATTTGTAGTGATTCGTCATTCCTACCACCAGCTCTGGACAATCTGCCTTCAGTCTGTAGATTTACCGTTTCTGGAAGTGTCCTATATGTATATAGATCTATTCAGGATGTGGTCTTTTGAATCTGGCTTCTTTCACTTGTATGTTTTTGAGGCCCATCCATGCTGTAGCATATGTTAGTAGTCCATGACTTTTTATTGCCAGTTGATAGTCTGTTGTATGGATATACTGCATTTGTTTATCTGTTCACCAGTTGATGGACATTTGGGTTGTTTCCAGGTTTTGGTGATTGTGAATAATGCTGTGGATATAGAATGCGTTTGTGAAGATGACTCTGTGAACTTGGCATGCTGTTAGGGTAGGGTACTCAGAACATAAACTTGAGTAGTACATACTGATCGTAACTATCATGAACCAGAACCTGACCTCAGTAGCAGATAACACAAATTCAGTGTTCTTTTTTCCTCCGTCCATCGCTTAACTCATTGTGGTCTTGGTTGATTAACTTTAGTGCAGAAGCAGCTCAGCACCAGTAGTCTTTGATGCTAAGTTTCATCAGAGGAACTGAGGCCAGCTGTTGGTCTAAATACTTAATGACTAAAGTGTTACATATAGGTAAAACCCTTGTTGGGGCCCCAAAAGTAATCTATTTGTTAGTTTTTTAAAAGTTTGAAACCAAATGTGACGGACTTATACTAGTATTCTCCTGTCTAAATTAGGGGTAGTTTCTCAAGTGTACTTCTGAGTTTGACAAATTGGAAGATGGGTATAGAGCATTTTAGAAGCTGGCCAGATGCCATGTTGGATGCTGGTGAGGCATCCCTGAGGCTTGCATATCAAGTCCTTTGACTTGTGAGCCGATCTGGGTGTGCAGTGGCATTCTCCCAGTGTTGTCCAGCGGTGCCATCTGTAGTGCTGGAAATGCCTTCTGTCTGCAGTGTGCAGTATAGGAGCCACACATGACTCCTGAGCCCTGGAAGTGTGATTAGTTCAGCTGAAAAATGGCATTCTTAATTTTTCAAATTTTAATTAAACAACTCAAAGTAACTAATTGCTACTGAATTGGACGGGACGATTCTAGAAAATTTTATTAACCTCCTGCAAATGAATTTTTAGTTTCTACCACCTCTGATTCTAGGTTCTGGATTTTACTGTTGTTATTTTGGAAAATTTTGCTGTTAGCGATGACTTTCTAGAATGTTTTTAATTTCTTAATTTGCTTTTTTGCTTTGTACAGGTGGCACAGGAATGGCTCAGCTCTCCCAATAAAGAGAATTTCTATCAGTTGTATGTGCGAAAGTTTCCTGCCGATTATAAAAAATACTGGGAGTTCATGAGTAAGTTCTTTCTTACATATGCAACTTGGAGTATACGATATAATAACTGGAGAGTTCTAATTTAGAGAAGACGTCATTACTTGAATTTTGGAAGACAGGTTTTCTGAGCTGGCTCTGCAACTTACAAAGGATGTGTTTAAAGTCTTAATGAGGGTAATTACTGGGACAGTTACGAATATAAAATTTGTGATTTTTTTCTCCCCACTCTACTTAGAATGGCACAGGTTGACGCGTCAGTAGAAGCTGGGATGGGGGAGAGGGTCCATAGTGGTCTTTATAGAATTGGAGCAGAGTTTCCTGGCACCTGTCTTCTCATTGCATGATTGATCTGAACATCCTATCACTTTTTATGTACTAGTTATAAATATACCGAACATTCAGAACTCTTCTAAATAAAATGTGAAAGTCCTCTTTTTACCGTCAACCCCCAGTAAGCTACAGCCTACTCTGTAGATCCTGTTTAAAAAAATACACATGTGTGTAATTTGGGGGAAAGGTAGTACATATTCATTGTAAAATGTTTTGATAATATCAGTCAGCAATAAAATAAATATCACACACAGTTCCCATCATTCAGAGATAATTCCATAACATTTTGGTAAATGTCTTACTGCCGGACTTTTCACTCACCTGTATGGGTAGGGTGGCAGAGGGGAGTGAGAGTGTTCAGTGGGATCATTTTACTTATTTTGTGACATCTGTCATTCAGCCATTCAGCAAATATTTGATAATATTATTGGCTTGATAATAGATGATTCTCGATAAGATATGTAGCTGTGAACGAAACACAAAATTCCTGCCTTCATGAAGCTTATGCTCAACTTATTTTCATTTGCTATATTGTAAGTGTCTTTTCAGTGTCATTAAATAACAGTTTACAGTATTTCATAGATGGTTTTTTCATTGTAAGCATATTCCATAATTCTTTTTTTTTTTTTTCTGAGTCGGAGTCTCACTCTGTCACCCAGGCTGCAGTGCAGTGGCACGATCACAGCTACCATAGCCTTGACCTGCCAGGCTCAGGTGATCCTTTTGCCTAGGCCTTCTAATTAGCTGGAACCACAGGCATGTGCCACCACACGTGGCTAATTTTTTTTGATTTATTGTAGAGATGAGATCTCGCCATATTGCTCAGGCTGGTCTCGAACCTCTAGACTCAGGCGATCCTCTCGCCTCCACCTCCCAAAGTGCTGGGATTACAGGCGTGCTGCCCAGCTTCATAATTCATATAACAAATCATTTCTAGTTAGACAGCTTCATTGTTTATATTTTTCACTATTGTATAAAGTCTGAATAAAGTCCCTTTGCTAGGCCAAACATGTACATTTTAAAACTTTTTTTTTTTTGAGTTGGAGTCTCACTCTGTGCCCAGACTGGAGTGCAGTGGCCGCTCCCGGCCA